CGTTGCCACCCAATGCGTGGAAGCCTTTCGGCAACGGAAAGCGCGCCTGCATCGGAAGAGGCTTCGCCATTCAGGAGGCGCTCCTCGCCCTCGCCCTCATTGTCAACCGTTTTGACATCGAGATGGCCGACCCGACGTACGACTTGCGCCTCAGGCAGACGCTCACCATCAAGCCTGACGATTTCAAGATCATCGCTAAGCCACGCTTCCGCAACCAGAATCTGCTCCATGAGCTCCTTGTTGGTGTGCGTCTTGCTAACGTGACACAACAGAAAGAACAACAACCACAACAAAAACAGGTATCGCCGTTGCCATCTACCACTGGTGCTGCTCCTTCAGCTCCAGCTGAAGGCGCCCGTATCACTTTCCTCTACGGCAGCAACAGTGGTTCGTGCGAGAGTCTTGCGAAGGAGCTCTCTTCGGAGGGCAAGGCGCGCGGCTTCGCCACCACCGTTGGCGAGCTAGATCAGCTCGCGGGAAACGGCAAGCTCTCCACCACCGAGCCAGTTGTCATCTGCACGGCGTCGTACGAGGGCAAGCCGTGCGACAATGCCAAGGCTTTCGTCGATGCCATCTCTGCCATGGATGCTGCAACGGCGCCGCTCAAGGGTGTCAAGTACATTGTCTTTGGCGCCGGTCATAGCGACTGGGCTACGACGTTCCACAAGATTCCCATCTTTATTGACGATCAGCTTGCCAAGCTTGGTGCAGAGCGTCTTATGCCTCTCAGCAAGGCAGACGCGGCGGGTGATGTGTTGGGCGACTTTGAGTCCTTCAAGGAGAATGTGTGGAAACATCTCGCAGCACCGTCACCTTCTTCCTCTGTATCAGGCCCGTCTGCTTCCCCAGGCACGGCCCTCGGAGTCTCGGTTGCCGCACCAGATGACAAACTTGGGCGTTTCGGCGCTACGATCATCCCTTCCAGCGCGAACGCGGCATCCACACTACTCGGCGCAGACATCGACAAAGTCGGCACGGTGCTTGACTCGGTGCAGCTGGTTCCTGCGCGTGAAGCGCGTGAAGGTAAGCGTCACGTCAAGATCCGCTTGCCGGAGGGGCAAACCTATCGCTCTGGTGATTACCTCGCTGTCTTACCAAAGAACCCGCCACAAGTGATCGAGCGCGTACTCAGACATTTCGGTGTCGATCCGGCATCACAAATCGTCCTCTCCAAGAGCAACCGTGCTTTCTTGCCCAAAGACACGCCGATCCGCGCAGACAACCTCTTTGGCTCACTTCTCGAGCTTGCCCAACCGGTCAGCAAGCGTACACTGACCGAGCTCATCGAGCTGTGCGAAGCGGAGGCTGACCAAGCGAAGATCCGTGCCATGGTGGGCGGCTATCAGCAGCAAGTTCTCGCCAAGCGCGTTTCCCTCCTCGATGTTCTTGTAAGTACGCCAGGTGCTAAGGCAGACCTCGCGTTCTTCCTCGAAAACCTACCCAAGATGAAGATCCGACAGTACTCGTGAGTGACTGAGCAACTGCTGTCTGTAGAACGGGAGCTAACTCGTTGTCTGCGTACAGAATCTCCTCAACGCCCCTGCTCGACAGCGAGACGGTGACGCTGAGCTTTAACGTCGTTCAAGGCCCCTCTCTCAGCGGACACGGATCATATTACGGTGTGGCCTCGACGTACCTCGCCTCTCTGAAACATGGTGACAAGCTCAACTGCAGTGTCAAACCTTCTGCCGACTTCCACCTACCGGTTGACCCTTCGGTACCCATTGTGATGTTCGCCTCTGGCAGCGGTCTCGCTCCGTTCCGTGGCTTTATCGCGGAGCGGGCGCTGATGCGCCAGAGCGGACGCAACGTTGGGCCTACGGTGCTGTACTACGGCTCCTCCGGCGAGGAGGATGTGCTGCACCGAGAGGAGCTGCTTCAATGGAAACAGTCTGGTGACTTGGACCTGCGCCTTGTCTTCTCATCGCTGGAAGAGGCCAATGCCAAGGCGCAGCAGTATGATCTCGTTGAGGGTTGTAAATACGTCCAGCACCGTGTCTGGGCCGAGCGTGCGGACATTGTCCAACTCTTCGATGACGGCGCTCAATTGTTCCTGTGCGGCTCAGGCCAAAGGCTTGGTGCTGGGGTCCGTAAAGTGCTCATCGATATTACGCGGGAACGCAAAGGGTGCAGCGAGAGCGAAGCCAAGGAGACAATGGAGCGCCTTTCCAAAAATCGATACAAGACTGATGTCTTCTTGTAATCAGCTTCCGCATTAAGTTAATCATAAAGGAAACTTCGCCCCAGGATACTGTTGTAACTGGGGTCTTCCACTTGTTTAATTCTTTTTGGGTTCCTCCTGGAAGGCTGCTCCTACTGCTCCAGTCGGAAGGCATGCGCGAGAGAGCGCGCACCCAATCAATTTTCACCACTCTTGTGCGTATAGTTCTTCAGCCACAATTGAGGCGTTTGGTGTTTTGGATGCTTCAATTCTTGTTGTTTGTCCCTCGGAGTAAGCCGCTGAAAGCGACACGCATACGAAAATAATAATTGATTGGGCAAATACATTCGCTTGCACCAAAGCATGTGAATTTGAATCTGAAGAAAACCGTGAATATGTAGATTAAATACATCCATGCCGCATGAATGGATAACGAGATTCCCACTGTCCCTATCTACTA